CTAAACGATGTTTGGCCACAATACGATCGTTGCTTCTCCAACCATCCCTTTCCCGGTAACCGAACCATTTCTCACTTTCATTTTTCATTCGTTACTTCCATTAATTTTTGTTTTGGGAAGTTTAAAAGCAGATCTATCCGAAGATGCTTTCATTTGCCGCAAAATTTAAGATTGCATTTTTCTTTCTTGTAATAGTCGGTTTTTCTTTCTTTTTTTTTTTTATATATATATATTGTACAGTTAGAAGGAATTTTATGCAAGGGATAGGATAATGAAACGTGTGATTAGATTTCTATTTGCCGAGTGGATTCGAGTACGTTTGTTAAATGCTTTCTAATAAAGTTGTAAGAGATTTATGGATTAATTAGAAAGCGTATTCTGATCGCGCCCGATAATACCACTGGCACAAACGAACGTGTTTGTTGTTAATTACACCACACGGTGGAATATAATTTATTAAAGACGAATATCAGATAGGATCCGACGAATATTGAATCAGAGATATTCAATATTCATTTCCGATAATTCATAACGAGTGAAGTGAGCAGAGGAGCTCTCATCCGTGCCCTCTGTCCACGCAAATGGAGATACAACTAAATTAAACGATATGAAAGATGACTCTTATAATCAAGTGTCTTCAAGTATAATGCTGCAAAAATCCTTACCCGGATGTATTTATTCCACGCGAAGAAAATACTCAAAGAAATAATCCCAATTTTTTCCCAAAAAGGACCCAATCTTTTGATATTCACGAGTCTAAAAAACTTACTGGAAAAAAGTCTCATTTTCAACAATTCAATTACACTCAAGTTCGACAAGAAGAAAACAAAACGTAACCATCTTCGTTTAACGCCACGCCAACAATTTTCCCGGCCGAGCAAGCGGCGTTCGCAATTAATAAGCTCGATCCTCGCCCTCCCCGGGTGACTTTAACGCCGGCACAAGCCGAGACATGCGCGAGAGATCCTCGAGAAGTTTTCGCGTCGTCCCATACGTGTCCCTTTGACCTCCTCGCGCGTTTCCTCGGCTCGCGAGGAACTCGGCGACGCTTAATAATCCGGCGCTGGTAATCGATTACCTCGACGACGACGACGACGACGACGACGACGTAAACTACGACGCGACGGCTGAGAAAAGTGCGACGACATTCCGTCGTGCGCGCTCGATTAATGGGGTTGAGCGGCGGGTTTTCAGCGGTGCACGGCGCAGGCGCATGTGCCAACCCCGCGGAATTCAATTAATCGTCGCCGCGTTCTTGAAATCTCGGGAATACCGCGGGGCCAATCCAGCTCGAGAGCCGGCACGGCATACTTGAACGTCATAATTCAGCGGCACGGATAGCCTGAATTTCAACGGATTGTAATCATCCGGCTCGATCGTGCCGCGGCGAGATTGATCGCGGCGTGATCAGAGATCCGAGTCGAGATTCGTCGATCGACAGTCTTTCGAGGATTCGTGGAAGGATGCGTGTGAGAGAGAGAAAGAGAGATTGTTTTATTCTTGTTATTATTACGTCTTTATTCCGGTCTTTAGAAAATTTTAATAGTATGGGAAGTAATGAAGTATAACGTGTTGAGCTTTGATCTTTTTGCAGGGAGAGGCAGAAGGTTTTTGAAATTATTTTATTGTGAGTTAATCGACAAGAGAAATGTACAAAGAATAATATAAATTTAATATTAATTATCATAATGATATTAATCGTATTATACAGGAAGATTTTGAATTTGTTATAATTGAAAGAAAACAATAATGTTATCATATTTAACTACAAGATATATAATTTATTTTCATTTCATTTAATATAATTTAAATAATTCGTAGTCTGCTCTATTTTATTTAAAACAGTAGATTAATGATGGCAACAGTTTGTCATTCATCATAGAAAAGTATGGAAAAAAATTCGTGTCAGAAGGACTCCGGTCTTGAAAAATGTCACGGCGAACCGTTTTACCCGACAGGAGGTGACCGCTTTTCGTGTTCAGAGAGGACGATAAATCTCGTTTCCTTCCGTGTCGATGAGCAGACACCTTCTGGAAAGAATGAGTTCATATCTTCGGGGGCAGAATCGAGTTCATATTAGCCCCATCTGCCTCCTCGAGAAGGGCTTCTGCATGAACGAGCATACACACAGGGACGAGACAACGATGGACAAAACGACGAAAATACATCCGGATTATTTTCGACCAATTGATCACGAATCTGATGTAGCTAGCCGCGCCTCTCGTGTTTGATACACACCGTCGGACATACCGTGAAGCTCTTTCATGTTCGCTTCTGTTCGTTGGCCGACAGTCGAAGAAATTATTTATGACG